AGCTGGGGAAATGGAAGCAGTAATCAAGAAACTCCTAGCACACAAAAGCCCAGTGCCAGACGGTTTCACAGGAGAATTTTACAAAACATTTAAGGAAGAGCTAACCCCTGTCCTTCTCAGACTATTCCAAAAAATCCAAGAGGAGGGAAGACTCCCAGACTCTTTCTATGAGGCCAGCATCACCCTGATCCCAAAACCAGATAAAGACCCTACAAAGAGAGAAAACTACAGGCCAATTTCGCTGAAGAACAGAGATGCTAAAATCCTCAACAAAATATTGGCAAACCGCATCCAGCAATACATTAAAAAGATTATCCACCACGATCAAGTGGGATTCATCCCAGGCATGCAGGGATGGTTCAATATATGCAAGTCAGTAAACGTGATACATCACATAAATAAAAGAAAATACAAAAACCACATGATCATCTCGATAGACGCAGAAAAAGCATTTGACAAGGTACAGCACCCATTTATGATCAAAACACTCAGCAAAATGGGAATAAATGGAGCATTCCTCAACCTATTAAAGGCCATATATGAAAAACCTACAACCAATATCATACTCAACGGGCAAAAACTAAAAGCTTTCCCACTAAGATTGGGAACACGACAAGGATGTCCGCTCTCACTGCTTCTTGTCAACATCATATTGGAAGTCCTAGCCACAGCGGTCAGACAAGAGAAAGAGATAAAAGGCATCCAAATAGGAAAGGAGGAAGTAAAGCTATCATTGTTTGCAGATGACATGATAGTGTACATAGAGAACCCTGTAGACTCTACCAAAAAACTCCTCAACCTAATAAGTGAATTTGGCAAAACAGCAGGATACAAAGTCAACATTCAGAAATCAAAGGCATTTTTGTACACCAGCAATGCAATAGAGGAAGAAAAAATCAGAAAAAAAATACCATTCTATATAGCAAGAAGAAAAATAAAGTACCTAGGAATAAATTTAACCAAGGAGGTAAAACACCTATACGCAGAAAACTATACAACATTGAAGAAAGAAATTAAGGAAGACACAAATAAATGGAAGCATATACCGTGCTCATGGATTGGAAGAATTAATATCATCAAAATGTCCATACTACCCAAAGCAATTTATAGATTCAACACAATCCCTATTAAGATACCAATGAAGTATTTCACAGAAATAGAACAGACATTTCAAAAATTTATATGGAACCATAAACGACCCTGAATAGCTGCATCAATTTTGAGAAAGAAACACAAAGTAGGAGGGATCACAATACCGGACATCAAACTCTACTACAAAGCCACTATACTCAAAACAATCTGGTACTGGCACAAGAACAGACCCATAGACCAGTAGAACAGAATAGAAAGCCCAGAGATAAGCCCAGGTCTATATGGGCATCTAATATTTGACAAAGGGGGCAGAAGCATAAAATGGAGCAATAATAGCCTCTTCAACAAATGGTGTTGGGAGAGCTGGATGGCCACATGCAAAAAATTGAAATGGGATCATCAGATGACACCATACACAAAAATAAACTCAAGATGGATACAAGACTTCAATATAAGTCGCAACACCAGAAAAGTCCTCGAGGAGAACATTGGCAGGAAACTCTCAGATATCCCATGCAGCATTTTTTTCACTGATATGTCTCCTAAAGCAAGGGACATAAAGGAAAGAATAAACAAGTGGGACGTCATCAAAATAAGAAGCTTCTGCACGGCTAAAGAAAACATCAGCAAAATGAAAAGGGAGCCAACCATATGGGAAAATATATTCTCTAATGATACATCAGATAGAGGTTTGATCTCTTAAATATATAAAGAACTCACTCAACTTCACTCCAAGAAGACAAACGATCCAATCAAAAAATGGGCAAAGGACCTGGGCAGACGCTTTTCCAAGGAGGAGATACAGAGGGCCCAGAGGCATTTGAAAGGATGCTCAGCATCACTAGCCATCAAAGAAATGCAGATCAAAACCACCACGAGGTACCACCTCACACCAGTCAGAATGGCCATCATAAACAGATCAACAAACAGCAGGTGCTGGCGAGGCTGTGGAGAAAAGGGAACCCTAGTCCACTGTTGGTGGGAATGCAGACTGGTGCAGCCATTGTGGAAAGCAGTGTGGAATTTCCTCAAAAAGCTGAATGCAACTGCCTTTTGATCCAGTGATTCCCCTGCTGGGACTATAGCCTAAGAATACCAAAATGCCAATACAAAAGAATCTATGCACCCCAATGTTCATAGCAGCACAATTTACAATAGCCAAGTGTTGGAAGCAACCTAAATGCCCATCAGTAGATGACTGGATCAAAAAATGATGGTACATATACACAATGGAATACTACGCAGCAGAAAGAAAAAAAGAACTACTAAACTTCACGACAGCATGGATGGAACTGGAGAGCATTATGCTAAGCGAAATAAACCAGGGGGCGAAAGACAAATACCATATGATCTCACCTAGAAGTGGAACCTAACCAACAATACAAAGCTGCAAGGAAAATAAGACCAGTAACACTGAAAGGAAAAGAAATCAGCAGAGACGAGAGGGAAGGAGGGAGGAGGGGGCGGGGAAAAGGAAGGGAAGGGGAAAGCCATGGAACATATAGCAAGGACTCATGGACAAAACCAAAGGGGAAGAGCTGAGGGAGGGAAGGAGGGAGGGGGTGAGGGAAAGTGGTGGGAGGTAGGCAGAGACAAATGTATTTGAAAAAAATAAATTAAAAAAAAAAAGGAAACATGGATGCATGAAGAAATTTGAAAATATTAAGAAGAAACATTGGTATGTGAAACATATTTGTGTATGTATGAATACTATATGTATGTGTGCATTCATAAATAGAGAACAATTGGGTACATGTGTAGGTAAAAAAGTAGATTAAGAAGAGTTTCCTTTAGAACAATTAATTTAGAGCCAGGTGTCTATAGAGGTTAAGGAACATAAACTGTAAAAGAGCAAGATCTGAGAAATCTGAAGGTACAAGTTTGATCCATAATCATTTTAATAGCAAGTACTCCTTAACACATCTTTAGTGACAGGCAGTGGCAACACGTTTTTCATGTTTTTATTTCCACTGATCTTTACAAGAAGCCTGCGCTAGATACTATTACCCACTTTTCAGATGAGGAATTCAAGCTCTGAACAGTCACAGATAGCAGCAGAATTAAAATACATATTCACGTCTGTTGAACTTTACCCAGTGTACTATCCTGAGGCAGGAAGCCAGCTTGTGGATCTATGAGAGTAGAAGCTGGCAAAGATCCAGAGCAGTTGATGCCAAGCCTTGAGCTTGATCCAACAGGACACTGAGGCTTGATCATGGACAATGGAGACGTGCCACAGGCATTTTGAGAACTGCAGCTTGAGGACTGTTTGAGAAACTGTGTGTGGAATAAGAGAGTGTGGGGAGATCGGGCCTGTTTGGTTAATGGCAGTGGACATGGAAAGAAAGTCTGACTCTTGATACCTTTGGATAAAAATTCAAAAAACTAGAAGCCATACAGGGTTTTGAGAGGCAAGAAGAGAGAACAAAATAAAACCTCAAGTCTTAAGGATGGTGTTGGAGAGCAGGACAGGGAAGTAATGGTACATCTATGACTAATGCAGTGGACGGAATGGGGTTCTTTTGGAAGATGAAGCATTCTTAATGACTAAGTGAAAGAGCTCCCTTTCTCTTTCATCCATCTTCAGATCTTTGAGAAACACTGAAATGAAAAGCTGTTCTTAGCCATCTTGTTGACACCATTTTTTCTTTGATAGAGCCATGTGCAGAGTAAATGTAGATGCATATGTATGTACATATACATATGTGTATAATATGATTATAGAACACATCAGATGGCTTTCAACATGAGAAAATATGTACATATATAATCATCTATAAATACTGATGTCATAGGTACACCATTATTTATAAGAACATAATGAGTTTCCAAGTATGTACTTAGATAAATTTCTGAAGTAAGTTTTCTCCATCCATCATTATTTATAAGGGGCAGTGCCATATTTCCTTGAAATTTTAAGTTTTACCAATGTTCCCAGAAACCCCTAATGATTCCTTTTCATTATTCTCAGTTGCTGCTGACCCAGAAGACCTTAGGCATTCGCCATTGTTGGGACTTGATTTTTTTCTACTACTACTACCACTACGACTACTACTAAAAAGCTTTTTCCTATTCTAGGACAATACATTTAAATCTTGGGCCTCTATCTCTAAATGTGTCCTCTATACATTAATGTCAAGAGAATAATGAAATATTAAATAAGTAAAAGCAAAGGCTGAATTTAACACATCTACAGGCTGTTGGAAAAAACAGTGTTGTGCAGATAAGGATACACTGTTTATCAGTTGACTGATATGTGTCTTTAATTCCTCAAGGCTGGGAGCCTCTATTTTATCAGATTCTATCTCATCTCAATATATATTATTGAAACAGAAGATTAGTAAAGTAATGGTATTGAAGGCATGACTGCTATTTAATTCTTAAGGGGAATGCCACTTAAAATATTACTGTTTTGTTTCCTCTAAAAGGTTCTTCCTCCAACATTCACCTCATTAATAGAAATCCTCCCACAGCTTTAGATACTCTAAGGCTATTGACCTGCTTGGCTTTTCCTGGGAACTACCAGCTTTGAATTTAGAATAAAGTAAAGGGAAAAGGATATTCATGACTTTATAGCAACAGAAACTGCACTTTTAATTGAAAAAATCAAACTTCAACAGTAAGTAAGACTTGTTTTTGAAGAATAAAAATAAGAACAAATGCTCTTAAAAGAGTTTTATGGAGTGTATGCCCCATAAACATTGGGTAACACATTAGAATCATACAATTTTGATATCTGAAATACTTCTGAAAAAATTTTAAACATACTTTATGCATTGGAGACCTTTACTTTGTTTAAAGTATTTTTAATATTTCTGTATGAGAATATATGATTTTTTGCACTTCGTATTTAATGAAACAATGTTAATAAACATTTAGTCTTATTTGTTCTACTCTAAGTTACCCACCTCTCTTGAAAATTTCATAACGTATGGAAAATCCTGCACCATGTGTCTCATAGTCAGAGACAAATCTGATGAAAAGAAATGGCCCTGAAGACACTACAGGAGAAGGGGCAATCTTTCCGCAGAACTTTCCCCATACACGTCCGTTTTCATTTTCTCCATCGATGACTTCCACATAGTCATACCTGACACAGAAACATGGAAGGACCATTAAGTTAACAATAAATGCCCTTTTAATTTCAATAATTTAGAAACCAGCATTGCCCAACACAGTCTGTCAGGGAAAAAAAGTTCATTCATCACTGTATTACAGAGAGGGGGAAAAAAATCTAGCAAACTGAAATAATTAAAATGGACTACATCATGTCTGTATACATCATCTGGCAGCAGAGAACTATTAAGAATAATGGTGTCCATTATACTTGCAGACAATGTAGTTAAAGTAACCAATTAACAAGAAAAAGAGAAATCTCATGGGCACAATTCTCTATTATTAAATTGTGTTCCTTTGTCTATGTTGGTGGGTGTCAATACATAATGCTATGCATTCTTTTCAAACTGTGAAGTTCTTTTATGAATTCAAAATGTCTCCATGGCTAGAGCTCTTCATGAACAATACTGTGATTTCTGTGAGCGACCCTCTAAACATATGGCCACAGAATAATAAACAGATTCTTTACTATTTAACCCAGTTCCACCAAATGCCAGACTTCTTAGAAAGAACTCTCTCCATTTCCACAGTCGTTCAAACACAGATCATCTTTTTCCAAAACTACACTTGAATTGTAGAATGAAATTTCTCCAAAGAAAAGACTTTATTTAAAAATAGTAAGTAACTTTGTTTATATCCTTTGTTGTTCGGAAAGAAAACATGACACATTTGAAAATACCAAAATGATGTGATTTTAATAACTCAGGCTTAGTAATACACTAAGGAGATAAATGATAAAGGAAGTGACAATAAAATATTACTCTAAAGATTGCACTAAGATAAAAGATGCTTGGGCCTTCTTTATCTCTAAAAGGTGGAAAAACATCTCCAATAAACAAGAGTTCTCCAGGAAAATAGGAAGATTTTCATTCGTTTGTCATTATGTATTTCATAGTACCTTGCTCTTTTCTCTCCTTATTTACCAAGTCACCTAGGAGCCAGCTAATTTGATTTGTCTTCCATTTGTCTTCTAGAACTGACACAAAAACATTACACTCCTTTCATTTCAAACCTTTATTTTATTTCTGTGTTTAACTTGGTTCAAAAGTCCTGGGATATATTAATTTCAGGAATGGCTAAAATATGGCAGTAACATAAACTGTATCTGGCAATTTAAAAGGCATCAAAGTGGGGGAAATCTTCATGATGACCAACGCCATCTTTAACAATCCCTTTTCAAACTGTCCAGAACACATTGCTTATGTTTACATGAAGTCTCAAGAGATAACTACAAAGATGATATCACTAGTTAAAGTGGACAGCTTAAGGCTCTCTAAATTAAAAATGACATTACCTCATCAGTTAAAGCCATGTGCCAGTTTTGTGTATCTGAAGGAGAAAATAAAGCTGACATTGATGGAATTAAGCATTAACGTATGCGGACTATTGTAGTAACCACAGTTCCTTGTGGCATCCCGTGTTTTCAGTAGCACTCCCTGGCCTGCTAGCATTGCTGTCCCTTTGCAAAACTGTGCACATACCCAGAGGAATTGTTCCTTCCTCAATGCTTTGGGAGATGCTCTGAGTGTTAAAAAAAGATGCAGAAGTAAAGTTGGAAGATGAAAAAGGGGATGAAGAAAATACTACGCTCAAAATCCTAACTAGCCTTTTACAGTCAACAGGGAGGGGGGCAGCTGGAAAGAAGAGCAACTCTGTATTCATTCAGGCCTCACAAATTGGCATTTGTGTAGCAGCTCCTTTTATCTCTGCTGCTTCACTGATGAGCCAGGTCTGCATGTTTCACCCACGCTTGCGTATAATTTAACTGTGATTTGAACTGGTGACTGTGTTTGTCCTGGTGACTATGCCCCCAGCTCTGCAATACAGGCTTTTTACCTGAATGCTGACAGGGTCTGAATACTAAGTGCTAAATCTGAGTGCATTTTGCCTTTCAGACACCAATAATAGGGATGGGTCAAGCTTTGGGCAGCACTGAGGGCACTTCTGTGAGGAGACCTTTGTCCCAGGTGCAAGAGAGCTCGGTCATATAGTGCTGACGACTGAATGGGGAGCAAGGTTGGTGCTTTCATTCACACAGCCCCTAATTGGAGGCACGGGGTTCTCCTCTTGGCAACAGTGAAAACTATTTTTAAAAGGGAGAGAGGGACTACAATCTTTTCCCAGAAAGAGATAAGTCATTACATCATTAAATGCCAATTTTAGGAAATTGAATTTTTATTTAGGGATACAATGATTATATTTGTATCCCTGAATAAAACTGGAATGCTGAGCTTACTTTAGCACTTTCCTTCAAAGCACCATCCCCCTGACCCCTAAGAGTATTTATTGCAAATAGCAGTTCAGGGAAATATTCAGGATGGGGCATCACACAAGTTGTAAAGTAGTGTTGCCAAAGACCAAATATGGGAAGAAAACAGCTTGATCTACCTCTGGAGCTGATACCAGGTCCACTGAGTGAATTTCTCGCTGGTGAATGTGGTATCAGCAATGCAGCTGGTGTGCCAGGATCCCCGCACCAGACTGAATGTGTGACCACAGCAATGTCCCCCAGCCTGCTTTGGTCTGTGGCCCAGGCAGCCCTGGGAATGCACCCTTGCAAGGTCAAGCTCCCCAGATAGGATAGCAGTGACCTCCAAGGGTGAATTGGAAGCACTTGTTGGGCCTCATTTGGAACTGAAGAGCTCTGGCTGCAGGAGCCAAAGGGGCGTGGACATTGTCGCAGGCATGTAATTTATAAGAGCTAGAGGAAGATTCGAGAAGTTGACTTGTGTGTCCATTTGGAGACCTGCTCCTAAAAATGAATTCTCTAGGTAACAAGGAGGCCATGCCTGGGTTCAGGGTACACTACACTTGGGTGCCTGTGCCTGGCTATGGCGCTGCCTGCCTCTGCTCTCAGTGGAGCCATGGGTCTCAGCCAGGAAAGCCCTTCCTTCAACCTCATCCTTCCCATTACTGGAAGGTAAACAGCACGTGGATTTTTAAAATAGTCAGAGGACAACCAACCCCTCCTCTTTTAGCCGTCCTCCCATTTCTTCTCTTAAATTTTCTGCCTTAAAGCTTTTCCTTTTGGCACTAATAGTGGCAAAGCAGCCTATATTTACTGGGAAGTAATGAAAAGATCTCTCTACCCAACTCTTTTCCAATTAATTAAAAGAAACTGTCAATGGTTTCTGTCTTAGGGTATGAAGTTCTGTCTGGCTCTTCTCTGGGGTATCCCTAGCTTTCGTGGGCAAGCTCCCAAAGCCAAAGGCCTTTTCTGCTTGCATGTCTTCCCTCCCCGCCCCTTACCTTTGGGTGATGAAAACATTCTGCATCCTAAGAGAAAGCATGAGTTACGTTTCCCATAAGAGTGATAAAAGAGTAAAGATTTCCTTCTAAGAATTCTTGAAAGGATTACCCAGAGATTATGTTTTCTTTTGGAAAGTTTGAATTATGGTTTTAGGAAAGTGGCCAAGTAAAGGGAAAAATGATGGAAAATGAAAATGTATTGAGTTACTAAAGAGAATTTTCTGAGCCTTTATAGGTATGCAGTGCTGAATATACAAATACCATACTTGACTGAAGTCAGTTTTTCTCTTGTGAGTGTGAAGGCCCTGGACTCTCCATGGAGGAGCCTGTTAGTGGGAAGAAAGCCAGTCCCCTGCAGGGTGTTGTCTGTGTGGTGAATCACTGTACCAGCCCCTCACAGCTCCTGGATGGTCTCACATTACTAGGAAGTGGGATTTTAGATGATGGTGTCTTTTTAATAACCTTCCAAGAGGATCCACCCCCACGTGCATACATACATTAATGATGGAGAAATTGGATCCCTGACATCACAAACCAGGGTGAAAAATAATGTTGGCTAACGTAATTTTCATCTGCAAAAAAAAAATATTTTGGCTTTTTGGTCTGTTTTCCACAAAGCATTAATAGCTATCCCAACTGAACAACCTGTAAACTATTACTATGCTGCTGCTACCCAAGAATCACCTTACATACCCCCAGAAGAGAAAAGACTTTCTCTCCAAGCTTTAGAGAAAGGATGGGGAAAGAAAAGCATACGATGATGGGGCTAGGAGAAGCCACTTAGTCTACATTCATGTTGTGAAGGGATAGTATATGCTATCCACCCATATCAGTTCTGTTTTGCTTGCAATGTTTTAACTGGGATATATAAAAAGACTTGCAAGGTTCATAGCTTCTAATTCAGCAAAAGTATTTTTTAGAAATCTGTTCCATGGAGATAATCCAGAATAATGTCAAATTGTTATGCAAAAAGTATTGCTTGAAGCTTTATTTAATATGGGGAAATAGAAGGAAACAATAGAGAATTTATATTCATATCATGGGATATTATTCAGCCATTAGAAAGCATGTTCAATAAAAGATATTTTAGCTCTGACCCATGTGGCTCAGTTGGTTAGCTGTCAGCCCACAATGTGAAGGGAAAGGTTTGATTTCCTGTCAGGGCACATCCTTGGGTTATGGGTTTGATTCCTGGTCCAGGAGTGTGTGAGAAGCAACTGATTTATGTTTCTTCCTCACTTTAATGCTTCTCTCCCTCTCTTTCTTTCTCCCTTCCCCTCTCTCTAAAAATAAATAAATAAATAAATAAAATCTTAAGATATTTTATAACTTAGGGAAAATGTTTATGATATAACAAGTGGAAAATCATAACATAAAATCTTATGTGCAGTATATCCTCAATTTTTATTTATATGTAGAGAAAGAACTGGAAGGAATAATGTTCAGCTATTAATAAGTATTAATAAGGTATTAATACCACCTGGTGAGATTATGTTCCTCAGCCATTTCTGTATTTTATAATGAATCAGTGCTCATTTGTAATCAAATAAAAGACATTTTGAAGAACCGTAACTACCTATACATAAAGTAGCAAATCAATACCTTATTGCCTCGCTAACAATTTTATATTTTTTGGTCAGAAAACATTATGATGTTTTATTTGGAAGTAAATCAAAGGGTTTGTTTTCCCCTTAAGCAAGTCAATCAATGAGACCGTGTGGTTTG